ATGTCTGTAATACCATGATCACGCCCTTGATGGTGTGCCTCGCAGTGACGAGAATAAACTATTTATTTATTTATTTATTTATAACCTGACGGCTTCAGGAGTCGCTTCACGTAAGCAGAGATTCTCTTTGAAGCGGTCTTCGCGGAGATTGCGAGCTGCTCTTCGAAATGTCGGTGCTAATTCCTTTTTGCACTACCGCAGATGTTCCGCTGACTTTTATACGCTTCGTAGTCATTGGCAGAGCCAGAGAGGAGGAATCTTTCCCACAGTCTGTGCCGCCTCCGAGCCAGATTTCCATACTCCTTGTCAAACCAATGAGGCTTAATCGGTCCAACCTTCTGACATTTCAAGGGTACAAATTGGGAACACAACGATGTCAATCTCTCATTTATAAATGTCCAACAGTCTTCCACAGATGCAGCTTGTGACAGAGACCAATCCAGTTGGCCCGCGCCTCGAGCTAGACCGTCGAAGCCCATTTTCCAGTAGTTTTAAGCTGGCGCCAGCGGACGTGAATACGGCAGGCAATTCTATACCAGCAATTAGCACTGAGTGGTCGCTTGTAGCCAGGGGCTCCAGGATTTGAATGTCATGTACTCGTTGTTCGTAGCTCGTCAACCTCAGGTCGAGATAGCACGAGGTTGGGTGTGCGATTATGTGTGTTGGCTAGCATGTGTTGCGATGCACCAGTTTCAAGTAACAAATCCCCGATTGTTGCTACAATCTCACCAGGTCCATGCATCAAATGCACATCAGGCCATCGTATTCGAGGACAGTTAAAATCGCCCATAAGTAGAGAATGTGGACGACTCATGTAGGTTCGAAGATGGGGCAGCCAATCCAAACAAGGACTCAGGGGGTTGCGACAGACTGCGTCCACAAGTAGTTCTCCGCGGCTGAGGTGGATGGAGCACCACAGTAGCTCACACAGACCATCGTCACTTCGGTGTTCACAAGTCTCCCACGCAAGGAAGACTGGATGTAGAGCAAGACGCCACCGCGGGCATCTGTTAGTCTATCGCAGCGGAAACAGGAATAACCGCTGAGTTCGATTTCCTGGGTGCATACGTATGAATGCAGCCATGCCACTGCGAGTCCCAATACGTCTGGTCGCTCAGACGCAATGAAATGACAAAGGTCATGGCGCTTGTTCATAACACTGCAAACGTTGATAAAGGCTACACGCGGGCCGCAGCAGAAACCGTCAGGCATGCTTGAAGTGTGAACAAGCTGTTTATCTTGATTCGTAGATTCTTAAAAACCACCTGAAAATTTACGATACGGAGATTTGTTACTAGTCACTAGTACGTCTTCTCATTTCATTGATGATAGATCTGAACGGATCTCAGGTCTGGACGAACATGGATCTTAAAACCTCCCACCATACTTAGGTGGGACTTGATCAGTCTTGGACTGGCTTCGTTCACAAAAGTGATTCACATAGACCGATTTTGTTTATCATCTTGTTTTGCAAAACGGGTAATTTGCCTCACATTTACCGAGTCCTTACCAGCGCCAAGGAGTCTGTCAATTAGATTCTGTAAAAACGACATCGTGATTGTAGCGTACCTGGGTGATGGATCACTAAACTCCGACACGTGGAAAATCACGACGTTGTAACGCTCTGGTTGGAGGAAGTCAATCTAGCAGGACGAAGTACATTACGAGTCTCACGTGGTTTGGCTAGCTGTAGACTTACAGAAGTTAAACGCCCCACATTCTTTCGTAATCTGGTTCTTTAAACTGGACTTAAGCACTCAAGCTTTCACCTACTGGGATATCAGTGCTCGTAGGACACAGCAATTTATGCCAGGTGGAACTGGACTGCTCACAACGGTTGGACTTCGTGACGGTGAGTCTGCACGGGTAGAAGAGGAAGACTAAGCTGAAACCTGAAGGCTGTTCGGGCTAGGTTGTTGAGCCAAACGCATGGAGCTGTTGGTAACGGAATGAGGAAGCCTATAAGTTGGCTTTACTCTTCCTGGCTATGCTGTTTAGGCTATTTCACATAACATTTGAGCGAGGTCGTGTTGGATTTCATGAGGAGGACAAATGATAGACCAACACAAAAAATGTGATATTTGACACAAAAAACACGTGAGGGCATTTACACGATATCCGACTAGCTTAGAACAAGTACCACAGGGTGATTGCTTCGGCACTCTGAATTACCCAAAAACAAGATGACGACCAATTGCTGGGGAAAATGGCGACAGTAAGATCAGCGAAACCAAGGGATGAAAATATAAGTATTTATGGTTGAAAAATTCAGAATCAGAAATGAAACTGAGTGTTATCTAAATCTCCACGAAATAATTCCAATGAACGATGAAATCCAACCCAAAGTGATCTGGCCAAAAATAAACGACCAAAGGCTGCTATCTGCAGTCACGTGTGTTGAAGCTTTCGAAATGCTCATATTTGTCAACAGCTGCCCGCGAGGCAATGCTAATAGCATGCTGCAGAACTTCGTAAGTAACGTTGAAAGTCGGCTAGCTGATTTGTGGAAGCAAAGCCTCTAAAGAAATGGTGGACCGCGTGCTGTACGTGAATAGTCAGTGTTGTTTTGGTAGTTCTTGGAGTCCCAGACGAGAAGATTAGAGGGTCTTGTGCAGGTAATCTGGAAATAATGGAGAAAATGACCGCCACAAGATGTCCTATGGCTATATCGGAAGATGACTTAGTTAACAACCGTTAGTCGGTGGCCACTTCCTCTCCATACCGAATAACATACGCAGTTGCTAAGCAGATTGCCGGTAAGCTGTTATTATCATTTAATGACGGAGGAAATATTCCGACGGCTAGCCCGCCTGTCCACTAACGCTCTCAGGCAATCCCGAAGTCTGTTGTAGACTGTTTCAGCACGGAAATAAGCGAGAAAATTCGTTCGGATGAAGACGTTGGTTGTTCCTTGAGCAGAGAGATTTGTTCACATGGCGCAGCTATTGCTCACCAAATATGTCGACCACATAATTCTGTGTGTGCTACCTAACCGATGTTGTACCTGGCTGAGTAAAGGCTCAGATAAAACAATCGGTGATATGACGAAAGTGTAGAGGAATTGGCAGAAAGACTTCATGTGAATTACTGGATAGAAGACCCTACTGTGGCCACAATTCGATGCTTTAGATAAAGCCCATAAATTCAATTTCATTCTAAAAAACAGAGTGCATGTATGTGACCACAGTAAATAATACCTTGTAGTGGGATGAAACTGACAGAAAACAGACGGTGTACCACATTCAACGAGACGAGAACATAGTATTGAGGCGAAAATCGAGTAATTTTGTGAAAATGAGGAAGAAACTATCCATGCTCACAACGTATGAGGGTCCGAGTTACTGTGTGTGTAGAGCCCTCATGCAAAATTACTTCTGGATGTCACTATATATTTTAAGCCATCGGATGTCACTACAAGTAATGTGTACATTTTCAATCAGTGTCAAAGGTAGGTAGCCTTCCGGTTGGTGAATCTAATTTTGCAGATATCTCTCCAGGTTTGAGACTGTTATCCAACATATGGGGGGGGGGGCAAAGCACGTATGGTTGGCTTTGTGTAACTTCGAGATTTCCATTCATCGCAATCAATCTCACAGAGCGTCAGTTGCACCGTCGAACAAAAAAACATGTCCATAGCATCCTAGCAAAGCCAACACAGAATGGACACGCAGTATGCTTTTTGATGGCTGGGATAAAGATTATCAGATAAACAAGTGTTTTTTAGCATTTGATTATATGTAAGAGAGGCTGTGAGTATTGATATCGTGTTTCTGACATGATTTCCTCTCACTTCCTCACAATGCTATGTCCATAGCATCTGAAACTAGGAAGAAAGAGAGAAAGGTGTCAGCTTATACGCCGTAACGGCGCTTCGCTGCCGCGCGACCACCACCAGTGGCGCGCGGGCTGAGTATACCGCGAGGACGCCCACCCCTACGCGGATTCGAACCGGTGACCTTATGGTTGCAAAGCAAACGTGCAGACCACTCGGCCACCGGCCGATATCTGAAACTAGGAGAGGCTACATATCTCAGTTAGCTTACAAATTATCTATCCCAGACGCCATCCCTCATGGCTCAGTGGCTTAAGGTGCTGGTTAGTTGGAATCTGCCTCTAGCGGCCATGGGTTCGATCCCCATTAGGGGACCGAACGAATGCGCACCACTGACAAGCACCAACGGGGCGAAACGCGTCTGATGCTCTTCTGGATGGTGGTTGAACTATGTAGCTAGTGACTTGATGGGAGGAATACATTAAAATTACAATTAAAGGCGTTGCATGGTAAAAGAGTTAAAATCACGTGACAAGGTTTTTGCCATTTGTACCGTCATGAACTGGCTCATGAATTCGAAGTATACGTGAAAACACGGAATCGTGAGTAGTTGACTTGACAAGGCGTTCAAGAGAAGATCTTGGCCACGGAACGAGATTCATGGACCTAATAAGCATGCCCAATGGGGCCAATTTACTCTCATGAAGCATGGGAATAGGTGTTACAGAGAAACAGCGAGCTCTAGCCCTCATACAGAAAAAAGCAACGATAATGGAACTGAAAAGATAGCGTTTGGACCACTGAAAATGAGGGTATGGAAGCCGCTCGGTGATGAATGCAACGATCAATTATGTCCGTAATGCTAGTATGCCAACAGTTTAGCTGAAGCTAAGAGCAAATATATCGGCCGTGGTCCGTGTGATTGAGACCTCTGGTAATGTGGCACTCTACTACATTGTCCAACGTTATCGGTGGTCCTGCTTGTGTCGTAAGATTTGACGCTTGGTTAATATACTGTCCGATATACGGACATATTTGTCATGATGGCTATAGGCCCCATCAATCACGGATAAGTAATAACATGTACTGTCGTAAGCAAGTATAACAGACTGCAGGGAGAAAATACTTGAGATTAAGCTGGGTGCAAAGCAGATAACAATAACATAAAGGATGATACGGGGAGAAGTTACACACAGTACAATGAAAAATGCAAACGTTTCCAGCCCACCTTTCTCGGAGTGGCGTCATAAACTCGTCGACAGCGAACATCCAGGCGGTAAGTTTGGCTGATAGCAGTACCGAGGGGATTCGAACAGAGTATATATCCACAGCGTCCATGAGAGTTGCGTTCCAGGGAGATGGCATCGTACTGCTCACGCTCAAGCCACGGAAGCTGGACAAAATAGATAATGGCGTGACCATCACAGACATGATGCACCAACAAAATGAACTAAACAGAAAGGGTAACGAATCGGGAGATGCTGCGGAAAAACAGTAAATAATCAGTATGGCAGAATCCTTCAAAGTTCCCAATAGTGAAAGTCGCAGCAAACAGTGAAACGAGTATGCTGAACGACAAAATCGAAGAGTATAGACAAAATAGCTAAGGAATGATCTATTACTAGTCGTAGCGGGTTAAATTCGGTGCCGCACGGGGAAGCGGAACAAGCATGAATTCGCACAGTGCACAACGCTAATGGAAAACAGCAGGCCAGTGGCCGCGAAATGTACCAGGCTAAAGTGCGTCATGGATACAAAATTCAATCAAAACCTCAATTCAATGAACTAACAGATAACTGACAAAATCTGGTTAATAAGAAGGTACGGTTTCTCGTGAGTAAGTAAACGAAGCTCGCGAGTCTGGGCAAATCAATCATCTGCCCCGAAGGCTACAACAAGCTGAGGCCAATATAGAGCCCAGCTGATGCCCACGGTCAGATTGTAACACATCGGAAAGGCATCGATCAACAGACTAGTGTTGATTTCAAGTCAGCACACGTGATCGATCGGACCACAGCTAGTGCAGTGTGATTCAGTGTAATTCAATTCGCGTCCGGCTCCCGTCTTGGTCTCCAATGAACCACAGCTTGTCACCTACTCGCTTCGTTTGTTCTTCCACACCCGGGGATTGGCCTACTCTAGCAGTCCGACAAAACACTGGTTAAGGTGAATTTGCAGTTTATAGCGCTTCGCTTACATGAACTCAAAAGTAGCAATAATGTCCCGAAAGCTGGTGCTCATAGGGACCTAAAAACGAGTCGATGAAGAACACATAATAAAACTCGAAGCGTCAGTTGCTACGTGGAGAGAACACCTTTTAACGAGCACACTCTCAACAGAAAAAACATCACGAATGGAGCCGCGGGTGGGATGATGTTAGGAAGAAGGGTTCAAAATTAAGGCAAAGCTTAAGTCGAGTTGACGGTTGTGAGGTCGCCGTGCCAGCTATACCCAAACAGATGACGTCAGTGATGTGATATCAAGGAAAAATCACTAGCCGGACATATGAGAAAGGTTATTATCGATCAACCAGCTGGCACTAGTAAGGTGTAATTCACAGAGAGCAATTCACAGATATAAGTATGCCAGCCTGTCGCAGTCCCTCGTTCCTAAATAACGCTTGGAAACGTCGCATATGGTAATGGACCAATGGGTCGGAAGACAAGCTTTGCATGGGATTGGAAGGACAATGCTACCTTCGTTTTCGTGCAGCAACCAACCTCATCTCGGAATACTAGCGCGAATTTATGACGCAAACAGTCTGACAGAACCTTACTAGGAATAGTGATCATACACTAATCAGAAAAGGTTGGCGGCATCCGGTTCCGGATCCGCCTGTCACTGTGGCCTTCTTGAGGACAACCACAGGACGTCTGCGCCTATGGAGGAACCATGGGTGGCCTGCGCTGCACCATCCACAGCTACATCTGCACACGCCATATAAAGTGTAGACCCGAATGAAAAAGACAGAGGCATGTGGATGGGAACCACGTTTCATCAACGGAGCCTTCACAGGCAAACACATACACGCTGTATTTGGAAACCAAGTGCACACAAGGCGGTGGCTGGACCGTAGTCCGTTCCACACTGAGTGCATGGAATCATTCTTCGAGCCTAGCATGGCTACAAGAATCTTGAACCCCGTCCCCTCCAGCAACGACCAACTGTCTCCTGGGACCAGTATGGGAGAAGTTGTGCGTAATAGGTAGGCATCTTGGCAACATGCACATCAAGCGCAGTGACACCGGGGATTTCATCATCATCATCATTATACATGTCAGCTAGAGATGGTAAAACACCTCCGCTATTGTACCGCAATACATAAAGGAAATACATACATACATACAATACATAAAGGAAAAATAAATATGACAGTTGAATGCCAGCTGAGCTACCAGCAACGGATACGCATCGTTCCGGTAAGCTACTAGCCGGCTAGTAGGCAAAAACAAAAATTTAATTACGTTTTACCCTATGAAATAAGATCGTAGATGGAGGGGGAGGCTAAAGGGATGGGGAGGGACAAAGAAACTCACAGCAGGAACGCCACTGAGGTCGGCTCCTTGCCATATCAGCAAGTGTATCCAGCCGAACGTGTTCACCGTCTTTTGGACCCCAACCAGGGAGCCGTGAAGCTCCAACTGAGGCCAGCTCCGAAGTGAGGGCCTTCATTCCTCTGGACCAAGTCATCGCTTGGCCACCTCTCCTCTTCTTCCACCCACATCCCCGGTGAGCAAACAGCGCACGTCGAGGGAGTCGGTGGGCTGGCATGCGCAACACGTGGCCCAGCCATCGGAGCCTGGTGAGTGAAATGACGGTGCTGAGCGGTTCATTCCCTTTTCCTAGGCCGTAAACAAGGCGTCGAACACGCTCGTTACTCACGCGGTGTTCCCAGCAGATGTGAGCCAAACTGCGAAGGCACCGATGGTCGAACGTAAGTAGCCTCTTCATGTCCGCCGATCTTAGGGGCCAGGTTTCGCAACCGTACAGTAAGGTCGAACGTACCTCTGCATTGTACACTCTACCCTTCAGGGCGAGAGTAATGTCGCGCCGTCGTCATAGGTGGCGAAGGTTATCAAAAGCACTTCGAGCTTTCGCTATGCGGTTCGTGATCTCGTCTTCGATCCCAAGGGCGCTGATACAACTTCCCAGGTAATTGAATTCCTGAACGACTTCTAGGTGATCCCCACCAAGGGTCAGCACAGGGGGCGAACCCTGCCAATCCTGGAGGAACGCTTTGCACTTCGATGGTGCAAAGCAAAGCCCGAAGCGACTGACAGCCAGTGCTAATCTGTCCAGCGCGGCTTGACACGTCTGGGAGCTGTCACAGATGAGGGCAATGTCGTCTGCATACTCTAAGTCAAGAAGTCGTTCTCCTGGGAGTAGCTCCACACCTTTCAAGTCATGTCCTGTAAATGCAATCTCCATGACTTCGTCAATAGCGAAGTTGAATAGGAAAGGTGACAGCGGGCATCCTTGTCTCACACCGCTGGAGATATTGAAGGGTGGCGACAGCTTGCCGTAAGCCCTCACTCTGCCCGTGCTACGCGCATACAATGCTTGGATAATATTTACATATTTCTCGGGCACACCTTTCCTGAGTAGACAATTCCAAAGGGCACATCGATCAGCCGAATCGAAGGCACCTTTGATGTCGAGGAACACGACTACGGTGGGCCGCCAATATGTGTGACGGTGCTCCAACAACTGACGCAAGGTGAAGATGTGGTCGATGCAGCCACGACCCCGACGAAACCCGGCTTGCTCCTCACGAATCTGGCTTTCACGAGCGCCAGTCAGTCTGTGGAGAATTATGGACGCGAGTAATTTGGAGGCGATGGAGATCAGACTGATTCCTCTATGGTTGCCGCATTCCGAGCGCGAGCTGCCTTTGAAGATGGGAACAATAACGGAGCGGCTCCAGTCGGTTGGGACAGTTTCCTGCTCCCACAGTTTCACTAGTAATTCATGCAAAGCATCAACAAGAGCAGAGCCTCCAAATTTGAAGAGGGCTGGAGGAAGATCATCTGGTCCCGCGGTTTTGTTCAACTTCAACAGTCCGATCTCACGTTCGACTTCTGAGCGAGAGGGTGGATCCAAAGGGACAGCCCACGGAGCGGGGCGATCAGTGACCGGCGAATCGAACAATTCTTGACGATTAAATTGCTTTTCAAAATGCTCAGCCCAACGCTCCAGATGCTTTGACAAATTGTGGATAGGCTGTCCACTCTCGTCACGTATAGTTTCACTAACACCAGGTCTCCTGCTGCCCGTCTCCCGTATCAGACGGAATAACTTACGATGGTTGCCAAGGGCAGCGGCCACTTCCATCTCTGACGCACGATGAGACCACCAAGATTCGCGGTCTATCTTCAGGCTAGCACGGAGTTTTGCCCGGAGCTCTTTGCGAGTTTCATTGTGCTCGCTTCCAGCCGGGATTTGCCGGCGAGCATCTATAAGTTCCAGAGACTGCGAAGAGACCCAATGTCCATTTTGTCTATTAGACATACCACATGAGGATTTGCCTGCTGCTAGTAAGGTCTGGCGAACATGTGACAAGTGACCATCAATTGTCTCCTGTGAGCGCTTGCTCAACTCGCATGCTAGCGTACTTCGATACGCACTCAGAACAGCTGGTTTTATCAGTTGGCTGGCGTTAATACGCTCACAGCGTCGTCGTGGGCGTCCGCCAAAACGCATCCGCATGTCAGCACATACAAGTGCATGATCGGTGTCCACACATGTGCTCCAAATCGAGCGACAATTCTGGATGCAGCTTCTCCAGCGGTAACTAATAGCAATGTGATCGATCTGCGTCCAAGGCTGGTTCGAGGTTGGTGGGCGCCAAGTCACCCTTCGGCGGGTGCTGTGTCGGAAATTAGTGCTCGCAAGAAATAAGCGAGCATCTTCACACAAATGAAGTAATCGCTCACCGTTATCATTACGGGAGTCTACACCGTGTTGACCGCCCAGATGCAGCTCATCAGTGGACAACTTTCCAACTTGTGCGTTCATATCCCCCGCCAGCACAACAGTGTCCGTGCTTCTTCTGTGGCGAAGGAGCTGGGTCAGTAGGCGGTAGAAGTCGTTCTTTACCGAATCATCGCTACAGTTTGTGGGCGCATAGGCAGCGATGATGAATAGACATCTATTAGTCCCGCGCGACTTCGAAGCTTTAAACGAGCCAGCCAATCGGACCGCACACATCCGGCTACTGATTGGAATCCAATCAACCAGAGCAGCTTCAGCCCGGGGACTCAGGGCAATACCAACACCGGCTTGGCCGGTGCTCGAAGCTGCATCGTCACCGGTTAGGTGCAGGGAGAAAATACTGCTTGCGTCCCCTGAAGGGGATCGCAGAGGGAGCACAGTGCTCGAGTCTTGCAGGCGAGTCTCTGGTAAGCAGCAGATATCGATCGAGAGGGTCTCCAATGTTCGGGCAAGTGCTGCCTGTTGACCGATTTGTAGCAGTGTGCGTACATTGGGGCATGCCAATCTGAAGGAGGATCGAGGGCTCCAAATGGAAGCCGATGAACTGGATTGGACCGCTTGGTTGGACATGGGCTTGTCGACAGGAGAGGAGTGACGCTCCGCGTTCACGTGTGAGTTGAAATTAGAAGGTAAATGCCGGGGATTTCAAACAACAGTCAATCATTTGAAACGGAATATCGAATAAAACAGATCGAATACACCGTACGGATATGCAGCTAAATTAG